AAAGAAGTTTTTCAGTCTTTTTTTGCCCCACCAATTTTTGAGCACTGAAATTTTTACTCAGAGAACATTTAAAATTATTATAGTAATTTTGAAAAAAAAAAAACTATTGTTAACAGTCAACAAGAATCCTATTTTCCTAACTCCTCCTCAAAAACAAAACCAACTCAGATAAATGTGGGGAGTAGGAATTGAGGACTAAATTTTAATCGTTTTCTCTGTTGAATAACTGGTTCCAAAAACCTCACCTAAGATATTTCTGTACTTTTATTCTCTGATACTTAGTTGTTATAGGAAAGATCCTATAATTAATAAGTTATTCCTAAAATGCCAGGTAAAACAGATAAATCACAGGAAAAAAATAGCTGGCACCAAGAGTGAACATTTTAGTGAGTGAACACAACTTTTTTTTGTTTCTCACTAGAGAGGAGGGAGGAGGACACTGAAGAAAAGTTAAAACAGCCTAAGACCAATGTTGTATCTTGTGCTGGAGAAATTAGATTATTGCTGTATTAGAGAGTCCTAATTTAAGATCTGCAAAATATTTGCTCAATTTTACTGTTCCCCAAAATGACCATGCATTTTACTTTAATATTTCTTATAGGTAATTCCAGTTTTTATTTTTTGATTCCATGTATATTTTTCTTGTTAAAGTCTAAATTGTGCATGTGAGTATGGGGTGAAGTATCCCCATGTGTAGAGGTCTTATTTTGAACTTAATCAGATTGGAATTTTAACAGAAGTTTTTGCTATATTAAACTTTCATTTTTATGGGCTTTGAAAACTTCAATTGTGCTGGTATCATTGTTTTCTTTGCACTTATATTAATATTTTAGCAGAGTAGATTGAATGTGGAGACTTCTAAATCCAGGAATATCATTTGTATGATTAGGATTCCTTGAGGTGAAACCATGTCAGAGTTCTTCTCTCACAAGTGCCTAGGCAGAGGAGCTCAGTCTTAGAGATGTTGAAGAACATTTTATCTGCTATGATTGCTGTCAGTTTATGGCTTACAGTTTTATTACTTAGCCTATCAACCTTTTAAATTACACAAAGAGAGAATATATTAGAAATTTGCATTACACATATGAGAAAAATCTGAATAGTGATCAGTGGGGAATCCAGGAAGATTGTTCTTTTCAGCAAATATATTGAGATATTTTCATTTTACTCTTCGTTGAGGGAGAAGTGTTGTCTGACCTTGTTTCTCCCATTTAATAATTATTTTATATCTTTTGCTTTTATTAGTTTCTCTGATGGTAATTTAAGGGAGTATCTTTGTATCCATCCCTACCCTGGCACAGAACATGGCACATGGCTCTTAGTAAATAAATATTTTAAAGAGTAGCAAACAGGGGCTGGGGTTGTGGCTCAATTGTAGAAGCACTCGCCTAGCAATTGTGAGGCCCTAGGTTCAATCCTCAGCACACATAAAAATAAATAAAGGTATCATGTCCAACTATAACTAAAAAATAAAATATTTTTTTTAAAAAGAGTTCCAAACAATGTACTTCTATCCTAAATGTAGGATTTAAAATATATAACACCAGTTTTTTTCTAGATCTGCATTAATGCTTATAGTATGAAGCAGATTAAAGGTTTTTTAAAAATATTTTTAGTCGTAGATAAATACAATATCTTTATTTGTTTAATTTTTTTTTTTTAATGATGCTGGGGATTGAACCCAGTGCCTCACGTGTGCTGGGCAAGTACTCTACCACTGAGCCACAACCCCAGCCCAGATTGAAAGTTTTAATTCAGAAATTAAGAGAATTATGAATGGTCTTGTGTGACCTTATGTGAAGAACGCCTTTGTACTAGCTCTACCTGATTGTGCAACATAAAATCCTATACTGGCAAAGTCCAAATGGCAATATTTTGTTGGAAACTAATTTGTTCTAAATCTTGGAAGCATTAATTGAACTCTTTGTAGCTGTAAATTCTGTTAAGAAATTAAAACTTGGAATGTGAGAAACAAATCTAGTTTATGAATAAATTCTCTTGTGCTTAATTTTTTAATTTTTTTTGAACAATTTCAGGCTGAAAGAAAAACAGCAAAAACAATACAAAGAACTACTTTTGCTGAATGATTTGAGAGTAAGCTTTCATGGTTACGCCCCTCAACACCATTGAATTTGTATTTCCAAGGACAGTTGAAAATAAAACCGTCAAACTCAGGGAACTAAAATGGATACATTAATATTAACTAAATCTCAGAATTACAGTGTTAAACTTAGTTGTCATGTGAAACATGTCATTGTGAAATGTCATTGTGAAACAATTTTTTGTTCTTCCCTTGATTTTATGACCATGAACATTGGTCTTGAAGTTTGAAATATTATGAGTCAGTTATTCTGTAGAATTTTTCTCAATGTGGATTTGTCTGATTTTTTTTTTCCTAGAATTAGATTTAGCTTAATACATTTCTTGGCAGGAATATCACTTCCCAGAGTTGTGACTGTTTGAATGTCACCCTAAATCCATTCCTGACACTGCATTTTGAAACTTAGGAAAAACACAGCTTAAGAAGCCTGTGACTTCATTAAAATTTAACTGCAAAGAGCTAATGTTTGATTCCTGTGCTCTTTTGAAAAGTAGTTTTTCCTATAGAAAAGAATTTCGTGGGTTTTATATGCCTGCCTCTTATCACTGAATCATTTTACTTTGCTGAAATACAAATTAAGATGTTTTGGGGGCTGTGGACGTGGCTCAGGCGGTAGCGCACTCGCCTAGCATGTGTGCGGCCCGGGTTCGATCCTCAGCACCACATATAAAAAAAGATCTTGTGTCCACTGAAAAACTAAAAAATAAATAAAATTCTGTCTGTCTGTCTCTCTCTCTCTCTCTCTCTCTCTCTCTCTCTCTCTCTCTCTCTCTTTAAAAAAAAAAGATGTTTTGGATCATATAATCACTTTATTTTTGTCATATATCCATTCCTTTATAAGGGAACTGAGAAATATGACTAAATGGTTAAGCACCCCTGGGTGCAATTCTCAGTATCAAAAAAAGGCAGAAAATTATTTGCTGTTTTGGAGATTAAACTCAAGAGTTGCACACGTACAAGGCAAGTGCTCTACAAGCAAGCTGTGTGACCGCCTTACTCTTTGACTTTTTTTTTTATATATATTTTTTAGTTGTATACGGACACAGTATCTTTATTATTTTTGTGTGGTGCTGAAGATTGAACCCAGTGCCTCATACATGCCAGGCAAGTGCTCTATCACTGAGCCACAACCTGAGCCCACTCTTTGACTTTTTAAATTTTGAGGCAAGGTCATGTTAAATTGTGCAGACTGGCTTTGAATGAGTGATCCTACTGTCTCACCCTTCCATGTAGCTGGGATTATGGGCATGTGCCATCACACCTGATTTGAAGGCTAAAATTAATTTTAAGAGTGTAGAACAGCTGGCATGCTTTCCCTTTTCTGTTTTTGTTTTTTGCTACTGAGGATTAAACCCAGGGGTGCTCTGCCACTGAGGTGTGCTGCTTAGCTTAGACATTTTATTTGTTTGTTTGTTTGTTTATTTCTGTTTTGAGTAGGATCTCACTAAATTGTACAGGCTGGCCTCAAATTTACAATCCTTCTGCCTCAGTGTCTTGAGTAGCTGGTATTACAGATGTGTGCCACTGTGTTCAGTATTATCAATTTTCACTTCTCATCAGCAGTGTATAAGAATTCCACCTGTTTGAGGGCTTTATGAGATGGCATAAACATATAATTCCAGCATCTCAAGAAACTGAGATAGGAGGATCATAAATTCAAGGTTAGTCTTGGCAATTTAGCAAGAGCCCATCTCAAAATAAAAAAAAGCAATGGGAATCTAGCTCAGTGGTATTGCACTCCCGGTTTAAATCCCTGTTACCAAAAATAAAATAGAAAACTGATATCCAGTTAAATTGAACTTATACCTATCCTGTGTCCACAAATTCCATCCAACTGAAATTAATGTAAATGCAGAACTACAATCTAGTTAGAGTTAACACTTTAATAGGTGCCTTTCTGTTTTCCAAGTTAATGAATTCTTGTTTTACATAGAAGCTAATAGCTTTTTTTTTTTAATTGAACTTGGTTTGTTTTTGACCCTAAATCCAAATATTGTTGTAGTCACTGGGCTGTTGACATGTAACCTGTGTGCTCTAGGTCTACACCAAATGGACATATAACATTCTTTGTTATTTTTTCTTTGTTTTTGTTGTGCACATGTAATTCGTAGTGTTGCTTTGGATTCATTGAAGAAGGATTTGCAAGGCCTAGAGGAAGTCTTAATGGGTGAAGTTTAGAAGCAATGAGGAGAAAAGGTGTAATGTGAGGACATGTGAATGTATATAAGAATGATCCTTGTAGGACTCAGGTGAAACAAACATTTTGAATAATTATTACTACATAATTATCTCGTAAGCTGCCTGTTTGAATTGAAATAAGTTTTGAGTTCATATATACCTATTGAATTCTAAGCTAACAATTTGTATGAATGATTTTGTCATTGCATGTTGAGCTCTCTTTTTGGTTGGGGGGCTTATTAAGGGACACTCAACCACTGAGCCACTCCCCTAGCCCTATTTTGTATTTTATTTAGAGACAGCGTCTCCCTGAGTTGCTTAGCACCTTGCCATTGCTGAGGCTGACTTTGAACTCATGATCTTCCTGCCTCAGCCTCCTGAACTACTAGGATTATAGGCATGCACCAACTTGCCTGGCTTGACTGCTCTTTTAATTTTCCTCTGGGAGTAGGCACAGAGAAGCTGTATGGTTATCTTTATTTAGATTTATGGAGACAGGGAAAGGGCTTCATTAGCCAGTATACTAAAAATGAAATTTTAAACTGAAAAAAAACTTGATCATAATAATACCAAAGCATTTAAATTAATTGAAAAACTTAAGTTTTGAAGGGATTAGTCATCTAAACATCTCTTAGGCGTAAACATGTTGCTTACCTTAGTGAAATTTAATTTTCTAAACAAATATCTTTTTTCTCATCTTCTTCAAGCATGGGGGGTAAAGTACCACCTGCTACTCATAAACCTAAATCAGAAGAAAATACCAAGGTAAGTTTTAATTTTATTCATGCATTTAGTGGTAAAATGTAAAATTTCTTAGTATTTTTTTTAACTACTGCTCTCAAATTACCATTCCCAGTTTTCCCCAAGGTCACTTGGAAATAAGATCTTTTAAATATTTGTTTGTCTTTATGAAACTAGCTTTTAGACCAAATTTCTGGAAGCTGATTTAAAACTGAGAATTTGAGATTGAATAATTCACTTGATTTTAAAAAAAATGTTATCCATTTGTTGTATGCATGGCCTATAAGCAGTAAGCTCTGTGATGAACAAGGATCCCAAATCAGTATTTTTTTTTTTTAAGAGAGAGAGAATTTTTAAATATTTATTTTTAGTTTTTCGGTGGACACAACATCTTTTTTTTTTTTTTAATGTGGTACTGAGGATCGAACCTCGGTCCCGCCCGTGCTAGGCCAGCACTCTACCGATGAGCCACAATCCCAGCCCCCTCCCTCCCAAATCAGTATTTTAAAATTTTTTTCTGCCCTATTACCTGAGGGATGTTCCTGATGTTGTATGTTAGAAATGAGGGGGGGTTAAATGTACTCTGCAGGGTTTTTGTTTGTTTGTTTGTACACAGGATTGAACTCCGGACACTCATCACTGAGCCACATTCCCTACCTCTCTTTTGGTTTTATTTAGAGACAGGGTCTCTCAAAGTTGCTTAGTGCCTTGCTTTTGCTGAGGCTGGCTTAATTCCTGATCCTCCTGCCCTCAGCCTCCAGGCATGCTGCACTGCATCACCCCTCTGTGGTATTTTTAAGGATGTTCTCTTCAGGGCTGGGGTTGTGGTTCAGAGGTAGAACGTGCACCTAGCATGCGTGAGGCACTGGGTTCGCTCATCAGCATCACATAAAGTAAAATTGTGTCCACCTATAACTGAAAATATTGTTTTTTTTTTTTTTAAAAAGAATGTTCTCGTCCATATTTTTCTTTTCTCCCATTTTGTTCCTTCATGTCTGAAAGTTGTTTTTTTTCCCCCAAGTTTTCTGATTAGTCATCTTGTTTGTTTGTGGGTTTTTTTTTTTTTTTTTTTTTTTTTTTTTTTTGTGTGTGTGTGTGTGTGTATATATCCTGGATTGAACCCAGGGGGGCAATTAGCCTTGAGCCATATCCTCAGCCCTTTTTAAAATTTTTTTTATTTTGAAATAGGATCTCACTAAGTTTCTTAGGGGCTTGCCAAGTTGCTGAGGCTGGCTTGAACTTGTGATCCTCCTGCCTCAGCCTTCCAAGCTGCTTTGCTTATAGGCATGTGACCCCATGCCTGGCCTTGATTAGCTATCTTAAATTAAATTGCTATTTTATGTAGAACCATTAATATGGTTTTATTTGTTTAAATGTAGAAATAGAAGTTGTGAACTTCTCATATGAACTTCTGATGATATGTAATGAGAAAGGTTAAGCAAAAGCTCAAAAAGTAGTTACTCTTTTAGATGTCATTTTACTGGTTTGATATTTTCTGAGCCCTTGATACTTTGCATTTGATAAAAAATGTATGGAAACTATTATATTTATCCTATGTGTCTGTTAACTTTTTAAAATCAGTCTAATTTAGACTTGTGACTGGTCTTTCAGTGTATGCTAACTAATGTATTTAGCAGATTTTCATGTTTGGTAGGGACTCAACAAATATTTTGTATTATGGGGGGATTTCGATTTTAAAAGGTGGGAGCCTAAATAGTTAAATAATTCTGACATCTAATACAGATGTATAGATAGTTATGGTGGGCTGATCATGATGTATTCTCTTAAGATACATAGCATTATTAAAGGGAAAAGGCAAAGTGCAGAGTTATCTCATACACATAAAATATATTTTTTCTGTGATGTATAAGAAACCACACTGGTTATCTACTGAATGGAATAGAAATTTGGTTTCCAACTTGACTACGTTTAAATTCTTTGAATTTTAATTGTTTATTATAGTTCCATAGACCCTTATTTGCAATTCCAAAATTGAAAAGCCATTGAAAAGTAAAAGTTACAGTAAATTTGGTAGTAAAATATTATCTGAATGGACTGTTCATAAGTCTTGTTTTGTTTTGGAGGCAGGTGCTTGATAGGTTGTCTGGGCTGACCTCAAAAAGGACAAACACAAATCTGAAGCAAAGTTACCAAAATTAAACAAAGGAACTTAATAACTAAAATATAACATATTGTGGACAATGTATATGTAAATTTTTTATAAGTTGAGCTGGGGATGTGGTTCAAGCGGTAGCACACTCGCCTGGCATGCATGCAGCCCGAGTTCGATCCTCAGCACCACATACAAACGAAGATGTTGTGTCCGCCGAAAACTAAAAAATAAATATTAAAATTCTCTCTCAACACAGTGTCCCTGATATAGTATTCCAGGGATTTAAAAAAAAAATTTTTATTAGTTGACTGCTATGTATTATATATATGGTGTGATTAAATACTTATGGCACTGTTTTCATTCCCTTTGCCTAGGAAGAAAAAACAGATAGCAAGAAGTCGGAAGAAAACATTAAGAGAGATGAGCCATCAAGTGAGGAAAGTGATCTAGGTGAGGAGACAGTTTGTATTTGATGATCTTATGATGCTGGGTCAGTTTTTATTGGAGTGACAAAATCAGCACTAATAGAAATTGTTGTTAATGAGCTACAAATGAAGTGCTAGAGTGTTTTTTTTTTTTTTTTTTATACTGGGAATTGAACCCAAAAGTGCTTAATTGCTGAGCCACATCTGCAGCCCTTTTAAAAAATATTTCATTTAGAGACAGGGTCTTGCTGAGTTGCTAAGTGCCTTGTTAAGTTGCTGTGACCTGGCTTTGAGCTTGAGTTCCCCTGCTTCAGCCTTCTGAGCAGCTGGGATTACTGGTTGGCCCTAAAAGTTTTCTAGTAGCCATATTTTGAAAAAGAAAAGAAAAAAGATTAATTGTTGAAATATAATTTTACTTAAATCAATGATATATTGGTTAGAATAATAACACCTAGCTGAGCATTATACCTTGGGAGGCCAAGGCAGGAAGGATTGCAAGTTCAGAGACATCCTGGGAAATTCAGCAAGAACCTGTGTCAAAATAAAATGTAAAAAGGGCTGGGGATGTAGCTCAATGGTAGAGTGCTCCTGGGTTCAGTCCCCAGGATTGTCCATTTAAAAGAAGAAGAAGAAATTAACAACTAAGAAGTGATGTAAAAAAGTTTTTAAGGGCTGGGGTTGTGGCTTAGCGGTAAAGCACTCGTCTCGCACATGTGAGGCCCTGGTTCGATCTTCAGCACCACATAAAAATAAATAAGTGAAATAAAGATATTGTGTCCAACTACAACTAAAAAATAAATATTAAAAAAAATTTTAAAAAAAGTTTTTAAATTATTTTCCTCACTAGATCTTCAAAGTCAAATTCAAAGTTTATTTTACATATGTAGCATCTCTCAATTCAATGTTGCATTTTCATTAAATAATTCAAACTTCTGACATTTGTATTTGAAATGTTGGGTGGTCACATACTCAATTTGTATTCAACATATTTTAAAATATTTCTATTAGCTGAATTCAGTAACAAAAAAATATTTTCCATTAGTACTTTTTCATGTTGATAAAATTGGTTCATATTTAGAAGAATTAATATTTATGCCATGAATGTGGTTTTTGGTTTTGTTTTCAAGGCCACAGAAAAAAAATTTGGAGGTTTTGAGACTATAAATATACTCCAGTTATTAATTGGGCAGTCTTTTTGTCACAGAATGAATCTTAAAGATCAGTTGATATTCAATATTGTTAGAAAGGTATTCTTAAGTGCAATTTGGTGGCTTAATTGAAAGTCTTTCATTTTTTATAAAGCGTCTTTTTTAGTTTTTCTCAATTTTGATAACTATAATTAAATTTTACTGATTCTCCCCCAAAAGCATTTTATATGCACAAATCAAACTTTTTGTAGTTCGACAATCTCAGTTTATGTTAAAACGGATTAAACATTTTTGTTGTACCATTCTCAAAGTCTCTAACCTTTTCAGTTAGAAGTTGACCAAGTTCTCTTTTTTAAAAAATATTGTTTTAGTTGTCAGTAGACCTTTTATTTATTTATACATGGTACCTTACTAAGTGCCTTGCTAAGACTTGCTGAGATGGCTTTGAACTTGTGTTCCTCCTGTTTCGACCTCCTGAGTGCTCTACGACTGAGCCACAACCCCGGCCCAATAAGTTGACTAAATTCTTGATTGTAATGTACAACATGGTGACTATAGTTAATATGCTGTGTGCTTAAAATTTCTTGAGATAAGATCTCAAGTGTTATCACCAAAAAACTGAAAAGTAAATACGTGAGATGATGGATAGGTTAATTAACTTAATGAGAGGAATTGTTTTATGATACATAGAAGTATACTTTCATTAAAACACAACATTGGCAGCTAGGGATGTAGCAATGGTAGAGCATGTGCGCCTATCAATCCCTGGACGGCCCCCCACCAATGCATTGTCAACCTTAATACAGTGTTAATTGTCAGTCACCCCTCAGTTTTTCCCCAGCCCTTTATATATTTTATTTTGAGACGGGGTCTTAACTAAGTTGCTCAGGGCCTTACTAAGTTGCAGAGGCTGGACTCGAACTTGTGATCTTCCTGCCTCAGCCTCCCAAATTATAGGGGTGTGCAACCACTTTGTAACTTTAAAATGTTTTGTATGTAAGTTGTTTTGCTCTGTTGGTATATAAGTGGAAATTGTCCTTCCACCCAAAATTTGCATCATGCCTCTTTTTATTCTTTTCCTGTTTTGGTTATAATACTAGCCATAGGACTTGATTTTTGAATCAGTAGTATGTCTATTTTAAAATTGAAATTTGTCCACACTATATTTTAGTATATAATAAGTATGTTAAAATTACATAGTATTTCATATTTTACGTTACTATACATTATTATATTACTATATTACTTCATATATTTTATTTTTTGGTACTAGAGATTGAAGCCAGGAATGCTCTACAACTGAATTACATTTCCAGTCCTTTTTATTTTTTCATTTTGAGATAGTCTTGCTAAATTGCTTAGATCCTCGATAAATTGCTAATGGCCAGTCAGGAATTTGCGATTCTCCCATCTCAGCTTCCTGAGTTGCTGGAGTTACAGGTGTGTGTCACCATGCCTGGCTTGAACTAACATTGTAGTAGATCATTGTGTAGAAAAAAATTTATTTGATCTGCATTGCTTTAACACTGAGTCATTATTGTATTTATGTATAATACTAGAAACTATGGACATGCTAACATTCCCACTACAATCCAATTATAATTATCCATTATGATGCAACAGTTGAAGTGGTAAGTCTTCCTAAAACAATAAAATTATACTTAACAGGTATTTCAATTAAAATATTCAAATTAGTTATGCTGGCCTGTCTTGTTCCTCATAACTAAAACACTCAGGGTCACTCCAGGGGAACTGGGCTGCACGAAATAACCACACAAGAGACAGAGATACCTTTTTCTTTGAGGTCCTGTGACAAGGGGCCAAAGAAAGAGCAAGCAAGTGGGTGCTGAACCCTTTTATTAAGGAGAAGCCATTCAAATGAGGCAAAGAGTCAGTAGCAAGTTGACTGACATCTAGAAAGCCCATACCCAAAAGCAGAGCAAGAGAAGGGGACACACTCAGGGCATTTCCATGGAACATTGGATCCCAGACAGGACAAAGTGGTAATATTACAAAAGAACCCATGAGTGTAGCTCAATCCATGGGGAGACATGCCTACATCTGAAGACACGCCCTCAAACTTCCTGGACTGTGACAATGTCCAGATCACTCTGAGATGTAGTGACCTGTCAAAGCCTCTTCTCTCCAGGATGGAAGGCATGAACAATTCAGAGTGGCTCCCCACATAGGCCAAAACTGAACACAAATATGAATAAAAACTGAGTATGCAAATACTCAACTCAATTATGCTGGTCATAGTCCATCCATTATTTATTTAGTTCTCGGTGGACACAACATCTTTGTTTTTATGTGGTGCTGAGGATTGAACCTGGGCCGCACACATGCCAGGCGAGCGTGCTACCGCTTGAGCCACATCCCCAACCCTCCATCCATTTTTAATACTTCTGTGAGGGTAGTGGATCTGCTTTGTACAATGCAAGCCTTAATGTTCTTTTCTCATCTTTGGCAGAAATTGATAATGAAGGTGTAATTGAACCAGACACTGATGCTCCTCAAGAAATGGGAGATGAAAATGCAGAGGTAAGTTCACTGTTTCATTCTCTGTTTATTATAAGGAATATAAAGTTTCCCACTGTTGGAATTATTTTACAACATGACTTCCAGAAAATCACATATCTTTGGCTTGGGGCTGGGGTTGTGGCTCAGTGGTAGAGTGCTTACCTGGCACATGTGAGGCACTGTGTTGGATCCTTAGAACCATATAAAACTAAGTAAATGAAATGAATATATTATGCCCATCTACAACCTCCAAAAACTATTTTAAAAAATGAGACATTTAGTTAAGCATTTTATTTTATTACATAAAAACTTGATTTGTGAAAATCTCCTGTTATTTTGTTTGGTCTTTAAGTTTGCATCTGGTTTGATTGCTCTATAAAGTTAGTAATATTCACTATATACTTAAAAAAAGAATTGTGTCTTAGTGGGCTATCTAAAGCCACACAGTTTTCCAAAATGGTTTTGTCACAGGGAATCCTCAAAGATTGAGAGATTTGATTCCTGAGCCTTGAAAAAATTTTAGATTTTACAGTGATTAGTGGTATTCCAAAGGGTTCTGGCACACGAACATATGTTATAGGTTATATGCAGTAGGACAGAAATTAGGAAAAACTGGCCAGGCAGGTGGCGCATACCTACAATTCCAGCAGCCCGAGGCTAAGGCAAAAGGATCGTGAATTCAAAGATAGCTTCAGCAAAAGTGAGGTATTAAGTGACTCAATGAGATTCTGTCTCTGAATAAAATAGAAAATAGGGCTGAGGATGCGGCTTAGTGGTAAGTGCCCCTGAGTTCAATCCCAGGTACCAAAAATGAACAACTACAACAAAAAATGAAATTAGGAGAATCTGTAAAATCTTCTTGATGGTGTTAGACCAAGATGCAAGAAAAGACCTCTGACTCCAATTAAAATCAAATTAAAGCAAGCTTATTATTTCAACTGGCTGGGCTGCCTCTCCCACCCCAAACCGCGAGAACAAGACAGCAGCCTCAGCTTTCCTGCAGCCCAGCTTTATAGCCCAGAAAGTTACACAAAGCGGGGTTACGGATAACAGAACTCTGAGGTGCATGACACTAATGCTAGTTTACATTTTTGCTGGCCCAGACATCAGAATTTATGAAGGTCATTAGAGTCTTAGAGAGGGTCGTTATCTGGCCAGGGAAGGCCAAGATTTGTGAGGTGTCACTAAAGTTTCAGAGAGGGCTGCAATCTGGTCAGAGAGCCAGGCATGGGTGAGTTCAAGGCACGGGCAGGCATTCCAAGCAGGTTCAGAATTTGCAGTAATTTATAGTAAAGTCGAAATTATCTTTTCATAGCTTTGTGGCGAGATGGCTCCCAATTTTGAGAAAAGATCAGATTGGGTCTATCAGTGGCTGATGGGGAGAAATGCTTAGAAGCACTCGAACATAGTAATAGCAACTTTTAAAATATTGGTCTGTCCTCAACACTTAATATTGTCAGATTTGATCTTTGCTAGACTTGTCACGTGAACTAATATGTCCTTGTTTTTAATTTGCATTTTCCTGATTTCTTAACAAGGTTGAGCGTTATAATGTCTTTCAGTTAATTATAAATTCTTTTTTTTTTTTTTTTAAGAGAGAATTTTTAATATTTTATTTATTTAGTTCTCAGCAGACACAACATCTTTTGTTGGTATGTGGTGCTGAGGATCGAACCCGGGCCGCACGCATGCCAGGCGAGCGCGCTACCACTTGAGCCACATCCCCAGCCCTAGTTATAAATTCTGTTCAGACCCTTACCCAGTTTTTCAACTAGGTTGTTTCTCTTTTGCTTTTACTGATCTATAGTTTACCCGTCAATGTCATTATTGAAGAATTCCTTTTCTCTCTGATGCAAAAATAAGACTGTTTCCATATGTGTTTGGTTGATGGTCTTTTGTTGTATTTGCCTAATTTTTTCTATGCACTAATGCCTCATTGTCTTTAACATATAAACCTTGTCACTTGGTAGGACAAGGACCTCTAAAACTTGAGGAGTATTTTGGCTGGTTTTGGCCCTTTGTTTTTCTGTATAAATTTCAGAATCAGATTGTGAAATCTCTCTTCCTCTAAATTAAGCTTCTCCCACTAGAAATGTATTAATTCTAAATCCAGTTAGGGAGAGAACATACCTCCCCTCTTGAGATTAATTTTTAATTCTTTTTTAAAATGTCTTTCAGTAACCTGTAACATTTTCCCTGTCTTATGCATGTTTGTCAAGAATAGATGCAAGTACTTTTTGTCATCATTTGTAAAAGAAATCCTTAAAAATTATATAATCTGTTTATTGATTGGATTATTTTACTTCAGTGTGTCTATGTTTCTAGTAACTTCTTGTCTGTTCTATTTGGGATTCATTGGGCATCTTAAATTCTAAGGTTGTTAATGTTCTTAAGCACTGGAACATCTCAAGTATTTCTTCAAAATATTGAGTTCTCCGTATTCTCTCTCCTCCCTTATTCTGCAACCTGATTAGATATATGGGAGGTTTTTTTCACTATTAAGCTTTAGCTTTTTATTCTGTACTGAATTATGTGTATTTTTCTAGTCCATTGATGTTCCATTGATGTTTTAATTGTAGTGTTTTTATGTTTTTCAGCTGATTGTGGTAGCACATACATGTAATCCCACTTACCTGGGAGGCTGACACAGGAACATCACAAGTTTGAGGGCAGCCTTTGCATTTTGGCAAAACCCTGTCTCAAAATTTTAAAAAAAGGTCTAGGGATTTTTTTCAGAGATAAAGTGCCCCTGAGTTTAGTCCCCAATGTGTGTGTGGGGGGGGGCAGGGGCCATTTTGATACTTTATCTTTTTAAAGTCTACTTGGTTTTTCTAAGTCTTGCTTTTTACCCATTTTCAGAAATTGATTTTATTAAATACATTAAGTTCTGTAGAACTTTTGTTGGTCTTACTCTCTCATTTTTTTCTGGCTCTTGCTCATTGACGTGTCTTGTTTACTTGTGCTGTATGTGTATGTTTTATTTTGACCATGAGTTCTTTGGTTCTTTGGGTCTCGCCTTTGGAAAAATTTTGAGGCCTCTGTAGAAGGTATGTTCCTCCAAATGGGAGTATATTTGCTTACATCAAAGCCCTGGACTTGCCACTACCAAACTTGTTTGTATGTTTTTAACTATACAGGTAATGGTGGAATTCCAAATAAGAGTCCAGCTCTTGTTTTTCACTACTCAGGAGAGGTTCTTTTTCCCCTCTTTTTTTTTCTACTTGAATGTTCCTTTGTGTGGGACAGGGTTTTTTTTTTTGGTTTTCTGTTATGCTTACCTGTGTAGGTCTTTGGAGTCAGAGATTTATCTTGGGCATTTTCTGTTCAGATGACATATATTCTCTTCATCTGAATCTATATACTTTGTGTCTGGTGTACTGTATTACTTTCAGAAACAATGTTGTAATGTATCAGGATTGACACCTGCTACAAGGGTGAAAAACAGATTGATCACTTGGGTTCATCACTGAACCTTCATTTAATTTTGTTACATTCTTAGGACAAAGCTTGGTTGATTTTAGAGTTTTTCAGGATATTGTGATTATCATATTGCCAAAAACAGAGTGGTTTTTTGGCTAATGATTTTTCTGAAATTACTCAGGCATAGTTGGGTGTAGTAACACATCCTTGTAATCCCAGTGACATAGGGAGGCTGAAGCACCTGCTTGAACCTGCAAATTCAAGTCTGTCTTATGCAACTTCGTGAGACCATGTCTCAAAATAATAAAAAGGGCTTGAGGTATAGCTCAGTGGTAAAGTGCTCTGTGTTCAATCCCTAGTACTACAAAAATAAGATAAAATTACTCTGGATTTGTGTAGGATTATTTCTGAGGAGTTTATTTTTTTCTTTCTTTCTTTTTTTTGGGGTGGGGTGGGGTGGGGGTACTAAGGATTAAACCCAGGGCCTTGTGCATGCTAGATAAATGCTCTATCACTGAGCCATATCATCAGCCCAACAACTTTTTTTTTTTAAGAGAGAATTTTTTTTTATATTTTCGGCGGACACAACATCTTTATTTTATTTTATGTGGTCCTGAGGATCGAACCCAGGGCCTTGCACATGGTAGGCCGGTGCTCTGCCGCTGAGCTGTTCTTTAATAGAATTTTATTTTTTCCTCTTGCGTGCTCTTATAAACTATGTGTCCTAGGTTTAGTTTCTGTTGTGATTATTATCTTGTTTATTACAATTTTTTTTTTTGACTGTGCTGGCTATGAAATTCAGGGCCTCACTCGCAACAGTCAGGCACTCTACCACTGAACCACATCCCCAGCCCCATTATCTTGTTCTATAACATTTTATAAATGACTTTTGCTGGTGTGGAGGAACTCTGGCTTTTGTTTGTTTTTAAATATTGCTCTTGGGCTGGGGATGTGGCTCAAGCGGTAGCGCGCTCGCCTGGCATGCGTGCGGCCCGGGTTCGATCCTCAGCACCACATACCAACAAAGATGTTGTGTCCGCCGAGAACTGAAAAATAAATGTTAAAAAAATTCTCTCACTCTCTCTCTCTCCTCTCTCACTCTCTCTTTAAAAAAAATAAATAAATAAATAAATAAATAAATAAATATTGCTCTTGTACCTGACAACTGTTGAATTGTCTTACTATATCTAATAACTTGTCAGTGCCTTTGGATTTTCTAGATAAGTATAAAGAATAAAGACAGTCAGCTACATTCCTTTTGATTCTTAAACCTATCAAATCATTTTCTTAATGAATTAGCCAGCACCTCCAGGCACTGTTTTCTACAGTGGTGGGGATAAAGTAGATGTGATTAAAGAACTATTTCTGAATGTCTCTTTAAGATAGTCTATTTACTGAAAGTTTTTTTTTTTAACTTTTGTACTGTCAACATCTTTTATTATATTTTTATTGCCATAAAATATACTGAGCTCAGTATATTTTTATGGCAATAAATGAGACATGAGGGTTCAAGCTTAAAGGGAACTAGTTATCTGTGAGGAGATAGGACTTTGTATTTTTGTGTAGTTTTCTTAGTATTTTTGTGAAGGTGGTGGTAAAGCTAGGGCAGAACAATCATGCTTTGTTCAGGATGGAGCAAAGCAAAGGTCATGTCTAGAGCATAGTGTCGAAAGTGAAGTTTGTTTAGTGACAAGGCTTGCAGTACACGGTGACACACATCTGTAATCCTAGCAATTCGGGGGGTTGATGGAGAATTGCAAGTTGAAAACGAGGCCCTAAGCAACCTACCCAAGACTCTGTCTCAAAACAAAAACAGGCTGGGGATGTGGCTCAGGTGTTAAGTACCTCTGGGTTCAATCTCCAGGTTTCCCACTTCTACTCTTTCCCCACAAAAGGTTAAAAGCTCATGGTTTGGTCACATGTGTGTCACTGTGACCAAAATAGCTGACAAGAACAACTTAGAGGAAGGAATTTATTTGAGACTCACAGTTTCAGAGGTCTTAGTAGTCTCAGACAGCAGGTTGAGACAGAACATTATGTCTGAAGGGCATGGTGGAGGACGGCTGCACACAGCCAGGAAGGGTTAGGAAGGAGTGGCAGGGAAAAAGGGACCCCCTTCCATGGCGTATAATCACAGAATCACAGAACCACTTCCTGTAGTCATGCCTCACTTGCTTTCAGTCACTACTTAGTCCTTTTAATCTAGGACAGGTTTATTAGGTTACAACTCTCACAAGTCAGGCATTTTACTTGCAAATGTCCTTCATTAACACAGGAGCCATTGAGGAAAACCTCATTTACAAATGATAATACTCATTCTTTATAATTTCTTATCATTTATTGTAATTAATCTCGAGAATGAACGAAAATGTGGTTTGTAACATCCTTAATTTCAAGAAAGTCCAAAAAATTTTTGCTTCCTCCTTTTGCTTTCCTTACTACTAAGATAATGTTCAATTTCCTCAGATAACCGAGGAGATGATGGATCAAGCAAATGAAAAGAAAGGGGCTGCCATTGAAGCCCTGAATGATGGTAAGTATGTTTTTTCTCTCCTTGCTACTGCAGTGACAATTAAATAGTGGAAAAGTTGAAGGGAACTTACATTTGTTATCATGCTGGTAGATGCTGGAATCACTCAGTGTCAGAGATGATGCTTGGGAGCATGGCAGATCCTGATTGTACTCAATAGCCTCTGCTTTTTGAGGGTATCATGGTGTTTCTTTTATGAGCAGCTTTAAAAAGAGGAAAGAACCCTTGTCACTCCTCACACCCCCACCAAAAGTAGTGGTAACCCTTAGAATTATTTTATATAATAGCACCCTTGATAGATGTTCATAGGTATATAACTTTCATCTTTCCCTGCACATTTGAAAAAAATCCTATCAAAATGGAAGAGAGTTGATAGTATTTACTGTAAGGCATAATGGGTTATAATTTAATAATTGCATAAATGTGTTTTATGGGTTCCCCCCATATAAACTGCTGATTGAACCCAGTAAAACTCAGTGTTTTCCGACCGAGCTACATCTTCAGCCTTATTTTTATTTATTTATTGTTACATGGTGCTGAGAATCTAACCCTGCACCTAGCACATGCTGGATGAGTGCTCTTCCACTGAGCCACAACCCCAGCCCTTATTTTTATTTTGAGACAGAGTCTAAGTTGCTTAGGGTATCTCTAGAGTGCTGAGGCTGGCCTCGAACCTGAGATCCTCCTATTTCAGCCTTCTGAGTTTTGGGGACTACAAGTATCTATCACTGTTCCTGGCTACTATCAGTAATATGTTACACAAACCTGTTTGTATGATAGAGTGTCACAAGGTTGTATTAAATAGATGCTGTCACAATGCTGGTATCATTTGGACTTCAAAGATTTAGAATGAGTACAATTTTATTTTATATTTTAGAATGAGTTCAGTATTGTTCCAAGTTGCAGATATATTCAGGTTTTTTATTTATTATTGTTTTTGTTTTGGGAGCAGGATAATATTATCACCTTTTTAGTGTAGATCCCTGTAACAAATTTATACAAGCTTATACAGCAACTGCGTTTAGTTTGCCCACCTGAAATATGTTTTCTTTCTTTTTTTTGAGAGAATTTTTTAATATTTATTTTTTAGTTTTTCAGCGGACACAACATCTTTGTTTGTATGTGGTGCTGAGGATCGAACCCGGGCCGCACGCATACCAGGCGAGCGCGCTACCACTTGAGCCACATCTCCACCCCCCAAAATGTTTTCTTTATTGCTTTCTGTTCACTGCCCTAAGATTATATAAGAACTACTTTTTATTGTATTGCTCTTCTGCTTGTTACTTGTGACTTTTTTATGTACATATTAAAGATTTGTCATATCCTATCAGTGTGCTAGAGTCAGACTCCATATTTACCTTTCCATCTTTGTTTTCTTCTATTTTAGAATATTAGTCTTCCATTCTGGTCAGACCTGTCTCCCTTTACATGTGCTTTACTACTACTACAGAGCTCTTTTTCACCTATTGCAATCTTTAATTTGTACCCCTCAGTTGTTCCCAACCATTGCTTTTCCTAACCATTTCTGTTCCACAATAATCTTAATTTACCTACCACCTAGAATTTCTCTTTAACATTTAATACCCTGCATGCCTGGAAAGTTCAATATGTTTTTGTGTATATTATTTCATTAAAAACCTCATAATCAACTATTTTATGGAGCAAAAACCTGAGCGACTCAGATAAGTTGTGATTTACCCAGGATGTTTGCCATAGTGTCACCTATTTTTTTTTTATTGTTGTCAATCATTTTGGCCTGCTAACTTTTTTTTTAAAATTTGTCTCAGCAGTATTTAACAATAAAAATGAAGCACTGCCTCTAATAAGTCATGTTTTTATTTTTATTTCCAAGCTCCCTGTTTATGTACTTATAAGTTTGACCCAGTTCTTACTTTAGATTTTGTGCAGTTTTATAGTATATTCTAAATGATGAAACACTAGCATTCTCAATGAGGCATTGTATTCATACCTCACAATGGCAAAGATACTTTGATTTCAAGAGGCAGGAATATAGTGAGAAACTGTACTATACATCAGAATCCCTTGGTTTGTATCCCGGTCTGGTACTTAACAGTGACTGCTTTCCTACCACATCATCATCTTTGAATAGTTACAACAAATTTATTGGTCTGCAAAGAATTCTTACATAGCCCTTTCCAGAAAGTTTATCAAGTCCTGAGCCTGATGAGCCTTTTATTTATTTATTTGATTGGGATTTGGAATAGATTTGGAGTTGGAATAGGAAGTAAGAGCTGACTTTTGAACACAGTAGATCTGAGTTGTGTATTAGATATTCAGTTGTAATACCTCTTGTGATATATGTAGTAATTAATAATTAATGTAATTAAATGTTTTCTGATATTTTTATGAGTTCTATTAAAGTCGTTTACATGTTCACTAACTGTATAAATATTATTCTCAGTGAATTGTGATATTTGTTTTAAAATTGTTTGTCTTGCCTCCCCAAGAAGTATTAGACTTTGTGCAAATAACTGTTCTAATTCTGTGGTATATTTTTATTTGTTGAATAATTTCATTTAAGAGAAATCACATAAGAGATAAAGAAGCTAACTATGAATATGGGATCTAGTGAATAAATTTAAAATTAAGAATATGGCATCCTGTTCTTTGTTGGAGAGATCTTATATATCCCCAAATTGCCTGTATTGGGTGAGCTGCCACAAAGGAATGGTAAAAAGTTTGCTTTCAAGAGCCAGTTTTTTATTATATTTTGTGGATCTGGGGTTTGAACGCAGGGCTTCATGATAAGTACCCCTTCCTTTTTTTTTTTTTTTTTTTTTTAATTTTTATGTGCTGCTGAGGATTGAACCCAGTGCCTCATACTTGGGAGGCTATCCCTCTACCACTGAGCTACAGCCTCAACTAGTCTTTTTAAAAAAAACTTTTTATCTTCTGAACATTTCTCAACTTTTATTTTACTTTAGGTGAACTACAGAAAGCCATTGACTTGTTCACAGATGCTATCAAGCTAAATCCTCGCTTGGCCATTCTGTATGCCAAGAGAGCCAGGTAAGAACTCGAAATAGAAAAGCACCCCTTGTTGCATAATTTCTTCTCCTAGAATAGAATAGAAACATTGAATAAATTTCTTCTATTCAATGTTTGAATAGAATTGCTGCCGTAATAATCCCAAGCAGTTTTTATTATTTAAAATGAATTTTTTTTAATACCACTCTTATTTTTTTAGTGTCTTCATCAAATTACAGAAGCCAAATGCTGCCATTCGAGACTGTGACAGAGCCATTGAAATAAATCCTGATTCAGCTCAGCCTTACAAGTGGCGAGGGAAAGCCCACAGGTAAATAGTATTATTAATTGTATTTTATGTTTTGAGGTGGTTTGTTTCAAAAAAAAGTTTAAAGGCTTCAATTTCAAAGTAATAATGAGCTCAATATGAAGAATTGAGAGAATATAATAAAGAACATATGCAAAATGAAAAATTCTTTCACTTCTTCCATTCAAAGAAAGCTACTGTTAATTATTGACCACACATGTGTTATATGTTAGGACCTTTTTCTCAAAATTAATTCCAGGAAAAGAGTGATCTTTCTGTCCTTTATACTTTTTTTTCCCCCCTCAGGCTTTATAATTCATTTTGGTAGAATTGTTTAAGGCAGTAGTATTCATTGCTCTGGTGTGTCATTAACTGTCATTTCACAGAATGTAACTAGGAACTCATGAAAAAAATGATGAAATTTTTGTTTTTCCTGATATTATCCCTTAAAATTTAACATTAATTGTTTTCCTTTGCCTTTTATTTTGTATTTTTGACATTTTTCTTCTACACTAAATTTCTTGGTCCCTAATAATACATTTATTGGTGTAATTCTACAATTTAAGTAAAATTGTTTCATAATTACGCCTTAAAAACAATATACCCTGTAAGTAAAGTTTGAAGGTATTTTTTGTTGTTCTCATCCTTAGAATATATCCCACTTAAAATATATAATATAGTATATAGTTACTTTAATTCATTTTTTTCTATTTGTGTTGTCAGTATACAGTATACAGTTAGCTTATTTCTGTTTATAATCAGGTTTAGAGTTTGCTTTATTTCTTTTCTGGTTGATTGATTTGTAGTGCCACAGACTATACCAAGGGTTTAGTCATATGTAGGCAAGCACTTTACCACTGAGCAACATCCCCAACCTTTTTTTATAAAATTAGTGTCATTTTTTAATCTTATTGTGAGATAGGGTCTTGCTCACTTGCCTTAAACTTGTGGTCCTCCTGACACAGTTCCCAAGAGTTGGGATCATAGGTGTGCACTGTTGTACCTGCCTTTGTTTTATTTGAGTCTGTAAAATATTTACATGTTCAAAGAGTCAAAACTGTGAGTTAGCTGGATGTAGTGTTGTATTCCTTAATCCCACCAACTTGGGAGGCTAAAGCAGGAGGATCACAAGTTTGAGGCCAGTCTGCACAATTTAATGAGACTCTGTCTCAATAAAAAGAGCTGGGGACATCACTCGGTGGTATATCACTCCTGGGTTAAATCCTCAGTACCTAAAACAAACAAACACAACCACATCTGAGTTAAAAGATATACCCAGGTAACTCTTATTTCCATTGCTAACTTTTACAACCCCATTCTTATCTACCCCTACCAACCTTTAGTTCCTACTCTCTTTTTTTAAGCAGACACTCATGTTCACGTAGAAAGTAACATGCAATTAAGTATAAATCATGTTAATCCTTTTTTGATGTGTTGAAAGTTCCTGTTGTACATACTTTTTAAAATGTCTTTGTGACTCTGAATTAAGAAATTTAATTTTTTATTTAAATTTTAAACATTGTTTTAGTAGAGCAACTTTACAATTACCATAGAAGAACTTGAAACTCTTTGTTAATCAAACTCTTTTCCTATAAGGAAGACAGATGCTGTGCTACATAGGGTGACTATGTATAAAAGGCTCTTTGTAATGAGTTTAAACTTATTTCAGACTTTTGGGCCACTGGGAAGAAGCAGCCCATGATCTTGCTCTTGCCTGTAAACTGGATTATGATGATGATGCTAGTGCAATGCTGAAAGAAGTTCAACCACGGGTATGGTAAAGTAGAAAAAGGGAAAGTTACTACTATAAGACTCTATGGTTTTAGGACTTAGTCCAGGGAGCCATAATTTATCTGAAAAATAGATGCAGAGAAACATTTGGAAGTTATAATCATTGAAGTTTGTGCTTAACTCTGAAATCATTAGGTTTTAATGCTTTTTATTTCTCATTATGTATTAGAATATGTTCTATTAACATGTTTGTAAGACCAGTGGAATTAAAGCCAGAAAATCAGAAATGGAAAGAAGCAAGTTTACAATGAGGCAAGAAATAGAAAACCTGGTACATGTGGGATCTGGGATCACATCTGGTCTGTCCTAATATAATCACAAGTGTATACAGCCACTTTTGACAAAGCATGAAGGCTTTCTTGATGTGAGGAATTTCCAAAATCTAAAACATTCTGTTTACATTTATTGTATTTAAAATTGTTAGTTAAATTTAATGCACTTTATATGGTAGATCTATCAGCTTTATAAGAAAGTACACTTCTACGAATTTATTTCCAAAGATTTTAAGATAATAGAGGTTTTATTGAATTTAACTTATCTAGAAGCAAACTTCATTTGATCCCCACCCTATCCCAATAACATGGCTTAGCCGAGTCATGATGAAAGATATTGTAGAACACACGTTTTCTGGTGGCAGTGTGGCTCAGGGCTTAGAGTACTTGCCTAGTATGCCTGGCCCTCAGTTTAGTCATCAGCACTGCCAAAAACTTCTAGCTATAGAACACATATTTGCTGCTGTGCTTGGTGGTGCATGCCTATAATCTCAGTGGCTTGGGAGACTGAGAGAATCACCAGTTCAAAGCCAGCCTTAGTAATGGCAAGGTGCTAAGCAACTCAGTGAGACCCTGTCTCTAAATAAAATACAATATTGGGCTGGGAATGTTGTTCAGTGGTCGAATGTCTCTCAGTTCAGTCCCCAGTAACCCCCCCCCCAAAAAAAGAAAAAAAAAGTTCACCCATGGGTTATTTGCTTTCTTAATCCCAAAAGCAATTTGATGAGACTAAAGACTTAGGTTTTTTTTTCTTTCTTTTTTGTGGTGTTGGGGATTAAATCCAGGGCCTAATTAAGCATACACTCTAACTGCTGAGTTATATCTCTGGCCCCAAGACTAAATGTTTCTGGCCCCCTCCTCATTTTATAAATGACACAACTGTGACCAACTCCTGTTTTGTGAGTTTCCAGTGTCTGCTTTCTCATGACAAACATCATTAATAATTTTCCTACTGAACTGAGCTGTAACTGAATTCTTAACACTGTGTACCTGGTAGAAACTAATAAGCAAGAACTGTTCTGACCTTTGAAACTTATTTGTTGTCCTTGATCATACTCAGTTAATTATTTGAGATTATTGCATTTTTCTTTATCCGTACATCCCAGACTTCATTGTGTCTTGTACATTTGCGTTTGGTCTTGTTAATGCCTGAATTTGTGTTAGGTCATTTCCTATAAGATAAATGTCATTTTTATGAACTACCTATTGAATTAAACAACTCTCCACAAAGAAAAGTAACTTAAAAGCTGTGTTGCCCTTAGCCTAAATTTAGAGCACACTTTACCTATGGTTTCTGATTTCTAGGCCCAGAAAATTGCTGAACATCGGAGAAAATATGAGCGAAAACGTGAAGAGCGAGAGATCAAAGAAAGAATAGAAAGAGTTAAGAAGGCTCGAGAAGAACATGAGAGAGCCCAGAGGGTAAATTTTTTTAGTTAAGCCTGAGTGGAACATACTGTAGATCATAGTTTTGAGATATTATTCCAACTCCTAGCCAATTTATTTAATGCTGGCTGAAGTTCTATAGAGTGTTTATTACTTTAAAAGGAGTCTCCTTTCATTGTTTCCAATGTGTGGGGATATTTTTAGTCTTTAAAATTTTTAAGTTGGCTTATATTTAACCAAAGTGTGTTCTTTTTATGTTTTTCTAAAGTCAAAAATTTTAGGCTGGGGGTGTAGCTCTAGCTCAGTGGTAGATCATTTGTCTACCATGCACTGGGCCCTGAGTTCTATCCCTAGCACTTGTTGCAAAACTCCCCACCCCCAATTTTTTAAGTTAGAAATTTTTCATAATCAAATGATTAAAATTTGGCGATATTTTTTGTTTGGTTTGTTTGAACAGGATTTGCCCTTTCTTTTTTCTTATGAAAAAGCTTATGTGTAAAACACACAAGACTATTAATATTAAACTCATTCACAAAACTTCAAAATACAATTTCATCAAGATGATCTCTACCAACAATTTTCCTTTAAAGAAGTCTGCAAATTTCAGAATGGTTTAAGTTGACATACACTGTACATGTTAAACTTTGAAAGAAACTACTAAAGTTTTTGCTTTAAACTGGAAAAAAACTATGGTCGAAAGTGTCTTTTTAAAAAGAACCCTTCATCCTGCTGTTCCTAAAATTACATTCATGTTAACTGAAGAAAAATGTTAAAGCATACAGTAAATATTACTCTTAACTGAAGAAAGGCATTAAGATGTATCACTTTCTGTGTGATTGTTATTACTATCTATAAATAAAGTCATTGCTGTTTGACTGAAAAAGGTTTTTACAAAACTTCACTTCCAAATTAACATTTTTATTAAATCAAGTTTTAAAAAATGCTCACTGTAGAAGAGTCAACAAGGGTTTTAAGAAAACCAGAATATACCTTTTTATTCAATGTATGTATATATTAGCAGCAAACTACTTCTGAGATTTTGATCTTTTAGTAATTTTAAAGAAAGCATAAACATTGTGTATTAGTATGGAATGTCAGCGAATTTACTTTAACCTTTTTTTCTGTGATTTGGCCCTTCTACAAAATACTTTATGATTCCCAATATTAAAGAAAAACTTAGTTTTGACTATAAAGTAGCGAAACTGTGGTTGGTAAAATCTATTTTCACTACCATCATAGTCACATGCATTGTTTTTGAGAATAACAAATGAGCATCATATAAATAGGGTAATTGTGTGTAAACTCAATTTTTAAGGTGTAATAGCAACCAACTTATATCATTTAGCATTTGACTGTTATTTTTTTTAAATTTTGGTGATATAAGTTTCATCTCAGCTAATGAGAAACACTGGCTATTGAAAGTTCTGTGGCAAAACAACTGTTATTCAGCTTGGTATTTCAGCTTACAAAATGATCAAACAAACAAGATTGAATTACCAGTTGCCCCCAAAGAAATAAATTTTTTTCTCGATAATCCCTTCTAATAGCAAAAAGGAAATGTCTTTGCAATGAACTTTTACTTTTTAAGAGTTAACATTATTAAAGAAATCTAACTAGTCTTCAAAAATACTAAATGTTATATAAATACAATTTTCTTATAGTTGAATACTTCAGCTATAATCTATCTTTAAAAAATTTCCTTTGGATTCTTCCATTTAGCACTTGAAGTTTTCATTCTGCATCTCTGACAACTGGCTCAGATTTGTTACGTTTATGTCCAATCAAGTCTTTCAGATTTTGCCTGTTGTGTGATACCTGGGTACAATAAATAGGAAAAACTGCACCAAATTTCAAAAGCAACAGAATAATAATGAAAAATTCAAAAGTATGTAATATAAAAAAAAATAAAAGTACAACAGGGATTCCCTTTTCACTACATTACTGAGATATAATCCTTTTTATGCTTTTAAAGTAATGTCATAACTTTCATTTTTTAACTTGTTTTTAGGTGGCCCAACTTTTATTTTTCAATTAAAAAATTTAAAACAATAGACTGAATTACTTTTATTAATATACACATCAAGTTACTGAAACGGTGACTTCATGTAGTTTTCCTCTTAAAGATGGCACTTGCAGGTACAAAGATGTAAGAGTTGTCTACAGGCTTCAGATGTTTACTTGAAAAGATTCTTCCAACAGCATTTTAATATTGGGTTTTCTCATCTAGCTGAAGATTCACAAATTCTCCATAATCAAACTGATGTCTTTGATTTAGATGACTAATGAAATTTCTAATAATCTGGCTAGGATCTCCCCAAGGAAGAGACACACAAATGTCACAGGAACTCTCTGAAATAGATGGTTACTGTTACAGTGATCAAGTAAACTCTATCTAGTAAAATTTGACCCTTGACACAAGGGACACTTAAAGGTGGGATGCCCAGAACTTATATTCTCTTGGTAAGTTTCTGTGTTATCAGATGTGGATGTTTCACCCCTATTACTATTCCCTACTGAATCTTGAGATATCTGAAAGTTTGGAATGATGAAAGAAACACCATATTCATCCTGATACTTCCAAGATTTATAATGATGTCTCATACGATAGAATTTATTCTGTTTTGCACAGCATCTACAGCTACCAGAAAACTTCCTCATGATATTTTCAAGATCTAAGACCCATTCTGTACACCTCTTTCTCTTCTAGTCACATTTCCACGACACAGGGGAAATGTATTCCACTTTCTCTCATTGCAGTCAGGAAACATTTTCTACAGAAACTCCACTCTTGTAGTAACCGAGTAATAATGAACGGAAGGGTAACACAAAGGGAAACTTCCACTTTATCTGGAAATCCTGTCAGTTATGTGCTGACAGGCCATAGTCCGAATGGGCGTTTTTAGCACCTCCTGACAGACCGTGCAGTAGAAATCTTCTGTTTTAGGCCGTGGCCGCAGACAGCTCAACTCCCTGCGCAGACCCCTTGTTTCTTATTTTATGATTCATCCTGGTTCAACATTGAATTCATAATTGGGCAGAGCCTGGGGTGTTTATTTAGGTTATAGAGTCATTGAAAATTTAGAAAAAAGAAAAATAACTTACCCACAGTATTGTTGAGCTTCTTTTCTGTAGATTTCTCCTAGTTTTTGGGGGCCAGGGGATGGTTTTTTCTGTAGCTTTGAATTGGTTCTATCATTTGTTACTTCTGATATTGTTGAATGAAAAGGACATAAAGCTATATAGTATAATTATATAATATTACATCCTAATTTTTTTGTCATTTAATTTAAAGATAATGCTTGATTTTTTTTTTATAGTCTCATAGAACATAATCTTTAGAAGTAATTTTCATACATTTATATATCTTATTTTTTACCTGGGTATAAGGGAGATTTTATATATCTTTTCATTTTGTCTTAAAAAAATGGCAGATCTGTAAACATTTGTAGTGTGTATCTAATTTTGTAGAGAGAATATGGAGAATTTGAAACTGGGAAATAATTGTTGCGGTAGTCTTAGTAATCTAGTCAAAGGCTTTCATTTTGGAGTTAAAACATTTAAGAATTTGCAATTTTTATAAGCAATTGCTTTTCTTGATTTGTTTTTCAGAGAAATAAAATATTCTATTTGAAATCATTAAAATAATGATCAACTTGCCTTGTAGATACAAGGCCCTGGGTTCAATGCCCAGTTCCACAGAATAATAATATGATGATGATGCTCAATGAGAATTGTGTTCGAAAATTTGTTTTCAAAGAGGGATAGAGTGTACCATTTAATTTAGTATTGCCTTTTACATTTATCATTTTTTAAAAATCTGCTAATGGCTTATTTTGTAATTTTTTTGTGAGAAATTTACATGGATTAGTAATGTTGGCAGACTATGTACTTTTCCTCCCTCCTATGATATAATTTATTTATTTTTTCTTTTTAAAGGAGGAAGAAGCCAGACGACAAGCAGGAGCTCAGTTTGGCTCTTTTCCAGGTACATTTGGAGAAAAACTGAAACAGTTAATACTATAAACAATTAAAATATGTTCTATTTGGAGGGCTTGTGTGTGTAGAATGAGATTGACTTAACATGCTAAATATTTTTATGTTAGAAATAGAGTATTTTTCCCTCAGAATTTGAGTAGTATATTTTTTTAAATGACTAGCTTATATTGGATTTTGAATGTTACACTTTTATTAATTAATTATGATGCAATTTAAATATTTTTAAATTGCCATAATGGAATTTTTGTTCTGTTATACATAAAACTCATGAGGATATGTAAAACACTATATTGTTGAGCTTTACAACTTACCAAGACCATGTCTGAAAATAAAATAACGGGTTGGGGTGGTCAGTCCCGGGTACTGTCATAAAAATAACAAAACATTCTTCTTTTTCTGGCAAATTTTTTATAAGAAACAAGGCAATGTTTTGAATGATAACAAAGGATCGAAAGGCAGATAAAAGAGTGAGAAAATTATGCTCATAAAATAATTATCAAATACTTCCTGAATTGAAGCAGTTAGACCAGGTGGATACTTGGAAATTTTTAAGTCTATTTACATTACTTTGCCTCTGGCTAAAATTTAGTTATTTGGTTCAAAACTAGAAAATAAAAAGGTGGTGTGCTCGACAAATTTTAAAAACACAAAATTGAGTTTTAGCTCATAACTGTCATATACCTTCGTTTTTAGAAAATGACCAAAGTTGAGGAAGAAAAGGAAAATGACCACTGATATGTACTATTACAAGATATAATTTTCTGTTTGTGTGCATTTTATTTTCTAAATTAAAGAAGACTTTTTTTTATGGGTATGAGCTAAGTTTTCAAAGCCTTGGAGTCCCCAGGAATGGTGGCACACATCAGTAATCCCAGTGACTGAGGCTGAGGCAGGAGGATGACAATTTGAGAGAGCCGAGTCTCAAAATAAAAATGAAAAGATGCTAGTGAAGTAGCCCAATGATAAGGAGCCCTTGGTTTAAACTGGTGACTTACCACTGAGCTACATCCTCAATCTTTGTAATTTTTTTAGACAGAATATCAGATAAATTGCTTGCTGGCCTCAAACATGGTGATCTTTCAGCCTCATTATCTGGAGTTGCTGGGATGACAGGTGTATGCCACCACTCCTGACTTCAGCTTTAATTATAAAAGAGAAGTAGAAATTGCACTTTGTGTCTTGTTCAGATTAGACTGTTGACACTGCATTATGCTTAGGTGGTATCCTTAGTTTTTTGTGTGTTATTTTCAATTGAAAGTTTTTAAAGACTTATTGGGAGTATAGATAATGTCTGTATGATTATTTGCTTTATTTTTACAGGTGGCTTTCCTGGAGGAATGCCTGGTAATTTTCCTGGAGGAATGCCTGGAAGGGGAGGGGGCATGACTGGAATGGCAGGAATGCCTGGGCTCAATGAAATTCTTAGTGATCCGGAGGTTCTTGCAGCCATGCAGGTAAGACTTATTAAGAGGAAATTTGGACTTTAATTATTGAGGCATTTCTACATAATTCTGTGAAGTGATAAGGTCACTTAACCATTTTGCATTTATATTAGTTATCCAATAGCTAATTTTGTAGTTGGGACATTTGTAATGAGTAGGTTTTTAAGAATTGGTTATAGGACATACTCTGTAGTAGTTGGCAATTAGTAACATGTTATCTTTTTTTTCTTCAAAGTTGTGTGTGCTTTATTTTATTATTCAGCTCAAGTAACACAGTTAGGCTTGACTTTTAGGTGCACATTAATAATATTTATATTTCACGGAGTGTCTAATCCACAATTAATTTGACCATAGCAGAATTACAGGTCTAAATAAAGAGATGGGGTTCAGGATCCTAAAGTTTTTGATAAATTGGGACACTTCTTTAATACTCAATAAATAAAGAAACAAAACCCTTTTTTTACAGGATCCAGAAGTTATGGTGGCCTTCCAGGATGTGGCCCAGAACCCAGCAAATATGTCAAAATATCAAAGCAACCCAAAGGTTATGAATCTCATCAGTAAATTGTCAGCCAAATTTGGAGGCCAAGCGTAATACCCACCTGACAAAACCCTTACTGAAGGAAAAGCAACCTAGATCACTTAATGGCTGTCGCAATAATACAAACCAGTGTACCTCTGACCTCATCAGGAGAGCTGGGGTGCTTTGAAGATAATCCCTACCCCTCTGCAGCAAATCCAGTTGAAGCATTTTACAATGATTTGCCATTAGGGTGTTCATTCAGATAATGTTTTCCTACTAGGAATTACAAACTTAAAACACTTTTTAAACCTTAAAAATATTTAAAACTCAAGGGGGTGTTATTTCCTACATTTTTATTTACTAATCATTTTGGATTTTTTCTTTGATATTGGGCAAAGCAGATACTAAGTATGGAAAATACATAGCTGTAATGTGAGTGAAATAAAGACTTACTAGTGGGAAGTAAATAAATCTCATTTACATAGATAAAAGTTTCAGTTGAATATATGGCTACTGAGACTGAGGCATTTTGATTTGTCATTTAAAAATATTTTTTAAATGATTAATTTCAATAAAACTATTGGGACCACCAGTATTTCACTCTAACCTGGGTAGGGACTGGAAGTATTTGGTAAGGCAGCAGCAGTCTTACTATTTTATATGACATGTGCCCTTATGCAGGTTGCATTTAAATCTTACACTGTGTTGAAGAGGTGATTTTTTTTTGGTTATGCTTCAATGGAATTGGATTACTTAGCTCTGTTTTTGTTCAATATATCAAATAAATGTTTCATATTATTTCCACCGTGGGGAAATAAGGGAGTAGGTTTCTTTTTATATTCTATGTTTAAAATTTACCTTTTCTCATCAGAAAATGACCAACTATGTCTGCTTTCTGCTTCTTGTATTTCCCTCCTTCTTGAACTAAAGATAATCTTTTCTCACTAGCATCATCACTGCTATCATACCATAATTGTGCAAAGCATATTTAATGCTGGGGTTAATTTAATATGTAATACATATCCTAGCTGTGGAATAATACCCATAAGAGCTGTAGTTTTTTCTTAGCCATGAGATTGCTTATTTAAATGTTATTAGACTTCCACTCTGGCAAAATCTTGTGATGTCAAAAACATTGGAAGGAAGGATTCCTTTTAGTGTTTGGTATTCTATTTAGGAAGTACCTATTGATCTTTGTATTTTGAAGAGTGTATGGTTTGAGTTATTGGTAACCATACAAGGAATTAACTGCTTGATCTAACATGAATTATAAAATAGATGAGAGCCTGGTTGTTCATTATGGAGTTCTTGGCACCATGGAGATTCATCATTGTATTCAGCTCTTCCTTAAATACTGCGACCATACCCCCACCTTTTCCCTTTTGTCCCTGCAAAGATAAAGGAAATGATAAATTCCTTGGAGTACATTTATAAAGTAGTACATTTCTAATATTTATACAGGTTCTAACCCTTTACTGTACATGAGTAAACAGAACTGCATCTGTTACAAAAATGAGAAAAAGTCGTATGCTAATGGAGCATGCTTTTAAAACCCTTGGAAAAAAACACCATTTATACTTGGATCTGGGCTTGCCGGTGTTTTTTGTTGTTGTTGTTCATGTATGTTCTCAAAATCTCATGTATGCTGTGCTTATCTCAAGAAGAACAGTTTCTTCTTGGATTCCTGATTTGATTGACTTAATTGTACATGACCTAACTATACTCGAATATTACGAATATAAATGGGTAAAAGTAAATTACTCTTCTGAAAATGTGTCCTGTGCTTTTAGACTTTAAGTTCCATAAATACAACAGATAGTCTTCATTTTCTTAGAGACCCAGTATCATTTCTAAAAACGAGAAATGTTCTTTTTTTCTGCTAATGATGCTGTAAGAAGGAAAAGAAAGTTTTCTGCTTAAAAATATATAGTTATTGGATATTTCTAGCTATATTAAAAATAAAATATGGTTTCAAACTGGATATTGACTCCCCACTACCTTTTGTGAGCACATCTTTTATTTCTGTTGGTCATTGAAGTTATTTACTGGGCATAATAAGGTATAGGTCATTAAATGCTACTAACAAAAACTTTTAAAATTTTACCAAAGTTGTGCAGAGGTGTACATACTTTCTGGTGGCTGCCCAGATCAGATCTGCAGCTTTGTACCTGGCAGGTAGCTTCTGTTTGTAGTCTAAAAGGATTTCCTTGGTGATCATCTAACACCCTGAGGAAATAGGGAGAGGTGGTCAGAGAAACTTACACTGAGATGCTGGAGTTAATATAAGGAATTAGCATCATGTTTCTTCTCGTATCATTGATCGTATGTTTTTTGTTTGTTTAGGCCATAATTAACTGTTCAGAAAGATGGTACATACACAGTCCATAGCTGTGTGGTTGTGTGGCCAACAACAAAAAATTACAGAAGATATGGAAAAGATTTGGCGCCAAGTATCCTTTTGCCACACTGAGAAACACTAGCTTAGGGTAAAACAGAAGCAGTATCCATTTTAGAATATGCTAACATCTAAAATTAATCCATGGGAATTGTAATCCATTTGCACATACTGGCTCAGCTCTGATATTGCACATACTATTTTGTAGAAGGAAAGCACTTAATTTCCCAGGATAATACCCATGCTTGCTTGTGGAGTTGGGATTCTCAAATACCCAGTCTTCAGAGGTGTTCCTTTTAGATTCTCTACTTTGTTGACCCAATGTACAAAGTTAATTTTGTAATATATATTTTTTAGTTGATGATGGACCTTTATTTTTATTTTATTTATATGCGGCGATTCAACCAAGTGCCTTATACAAGCTAGGCAAGTGCTTTTCCACTGATCCACAACCCCAGCTGTGCAGTTAATCATATATATGAATTATATAACATAATTATATTTAGTTATAAATGGACATAACACCTTTATTTTGTTCATTGATTTGTATTTGGTGCTGAGGATTGAACCCAGTGCCTCACAACCCTAGCGCCCAAATTCCTAATTGTTCATTATCTCAAGAAATTGCAAACCAAGCCAGGCATGGTGGTACATAACCTATATTCCCAGTAACCATATGCTGAAGCAGGAGGAGCTCAAGTTGAAGGCCGGCCTCAGCAACTTTGCTAAAGCCTGTCAGTGGTAGAGGGCCTCTAGGTTCAATCCCAGTACCTGACATATAGAAAGAATGAACTTTGTTAAAGAATATCACACTTCATATGTACTAATGTGTACATCCAATAGGACATTTTCCCAGTAGTAAGTGATCCTGGTATATTAAGTGCTTAATTCACTCATGACTGGCTCAAAAATAAATTTTAAAAACTATAGTAATTCCAAGAAGTTAATTGTGTGCCAGTATTTACAACTAATATAGTGTATTTAATAGAGCTTGTGCTTAGGGAGAGAAGTATTCTAAATAGCCAGGTGCAGTGGTGCAGGCCTATAATTCTTACTCCTCTGGAAGCTGAAATGAGTCTTCAGATTTGTGGCCAGCCTGAGCAACTTAGCAGAATACTGTCTCAATAAAAAGCTGGGAAAGTAAGTTTTGTAATCCCTAGTACCAACCACAAAAAATAAATAAGCAGTAAATAACAGGTAATGAACAATAGTTATAAACTTCAAGAATAAGGATAATCTGGGCTGGGGATGTGGCTCAAGCAGTAGCGCGCTCGCCTGGCGTGCATGCGGCCCGGGTTCGATCCTCAGCACCACATACCAACAAAGATGTTGTGTCCGCCGAGAACTAAAAAATATTAAAAATTCTAAAAAAAAAAATAAGGATAATCTATCAATATGGCAGAAGTTTTTGGGCAATTATTCAATGAGACCCCCTGTACAATGCTAGTGGAAGCAAATATTTATGATTTTTCTGTTAGATAGTTGAACAAAAATTCTTGACATTTAGTGGTTTATTGCCTTTAAAATTATGATTTTAAGTATTAGCCAAAAAAGGAAGGTGGTAAATAGAGTCAATATAACCATGCTGATGATACTGGGCATCTGATAAATAGTTAATTCATGTTACTAGAGTATTTGCAGTTTTCAGTGTAAGTAGCCTGACCACAGGCCAATGTAGAAGCAACATAAGAAGTGGCTTTATCTCTACTAATGGTATAGGTGTAAACAGGAAGAGTTCAGGTTTTTAGCACCCAGTATAAGTAGTGTCAAGGGGTTTGATGTTTATTTAACTTGGTTGACATAAAAGAATAGTATTATTTTTGTAACTCAGCCATCTTTTGAAAATATTCTGGATACTAACAATGCTCAGAATAAGGAAGGACATTTTTTAAAAATTAGAAACATCACAACTTCAGAGAAAATTCTGTTTAATTCGTAGAGCAATGGAATTCCATTTTTTCCTCTTCTTTGGTACTGAGGATTGAACTCAGGGTAACTGGAACCCCAGTGTGCTGGAACCTGTGCTGTGTATGATGAACGTGTGCACCTGGCCCTGAGAGCTCAGCACATGGACACATTTGGTCAAGGAAAAAACTTTCAGTATATGCTGCCCCGCCTCAGATTCCTTTTCTGCCTCATTCTCCTGAGCACTCATCACAGTCGTTTTTTGTTTTTTGGAGATTGAACTCAGGGACACTCAACCACTGAGCCACATCCCCAGCCCTATATTATATTTTTATTTAGAGTCAGAGTCTCAGTGAGTTGATTAGCGGCTTGCTTTTTGCTGAGGCTGGCTTTGAACTCACAATCATCCTGCCTCAGCTTCCAGAGTCTGGGATTTCTGTTTGTTGTGTATTATATGACAATGATTCTGATTTGAGCTCCCCACCATGGCCCTTTTTGTTTTTTAGATGGAAACTTGCTAGGTTACTTAGGCTGGCTTTGAAAACTCAGTCCTTCCACCTCAGCTCCCTTACATGGGATTATAAGTGTGTGCCATCACTCTCAGTTTGACAAATGATATTGAACTTTATTATTTATTTATTTTGTACAGGCACTGAGCTACACCCTCAGCCCTTTTTTGTATTTTATTTAGAGACAGGGTCTTGCTGAGTTGCTTAGGACCTCACTGAGTTGCTGAGACTGGCTTTGAACTTAGAATTCTCCTGTCTCAGCCTGCCTCAAAAAGGACTGGGGATACATTTCAGAGGTAGAGAACCCCTCGATTCAATCCCCAGTATGGCAATAAGAATACATTATATGTTCAGATTCTGCTTTCTGCATTTCAGTATCTAAATTATGTATTTTGACTTTCAGTCCATCTTTATGTCATGACCCAATGGAGTGATAGGACTATTCCTGAAAGTCATTCCAGGGCAGGTCATCTAGCAGTAACTTAATTCTATACAACAGATTACAGCCAACCAAGCCCTTCGCTTATGGCTACTATAACACCTCATGATTAAATTTGGCAAAAACATGACCACCTTAATATTTTTAGGGCTTCTCCTGGGGATTAATATGGTAATGGGCATAAAGCACTGGTCTGGACTATAGTAAGCACTCATGAACTGTGACCGAGGGCATTAGA